GTCTCGCTACACATCTCAAACTTGAAGTGATCCTCTCAGCTTCTTCAGTGCTGGGATTACAGGCATACACTACCCCATCCAGTTTGGTGGCTGGCTTGGCGTGGGGCTGGCACGGCATGCATAGGTCCTTACGCTTTCCAGGCAGGTGTTTAGACTGCTGAGCTATCTCCCCAGCCCTGAAGGAATTTTCATTTACTAAATTTGTGACAATTAAACATCCAAAGAATGAGTATGACAATGACTTTTAATACAGCATATTAAAAAAAAAAAATCCACGCTCTTTCTGTAGCAGAAAAACCCACCACCACCACCACCACCACCACCAAAACCCCAGCAAATAATGTATATGTAATGTGTCAGTCCAGGGAAGAAGTTAGAGGTTTGAGCCCTGTGATTTTTGGAGGGTTGATTATTCTGGTTACCTCTGCTTGCTGTGTACCAGAATTTCAGACTCCTTGGAAGAAAGATGACATTCACCACAAATCACCTTGCACAGTCTAGACTTGGTAAACCACTGTATTGCTCATGAGACGGAGGACAGCCAAATTTTCATTTGCCAACTAAAGGCTGATTTTGGAAGCAGGCCCTTTTGAAGATTGCACCCCTAGGTCTCCTGATTGATTGGTTGGTTGTGTAAGGGATTGAACCTAGGCCTCTGTGTGTCCCATGACTTAAAATTTTTTTATGTTGAGACAGGGTCTTGCTAAGCCACAGGGTCTCACTAAATTGCCCAGTCTGAGCTTGGACTTGCCGTCCTTTTGCCTTAGTCTCCTAGAGTGCTGGATTTATAGGTGCGTGCCACCACACCTGGCGATAGGTCTGTTGCAGCAACTCTTCTGCACATTTAATAACCTCATACAAGCAAGGATGAGTGTAATGATCTGAAAGAGCAGAGAAACCTGAGGTCTAAAAGGGTAGTTAGCAGAAAGTTCATTGAGTTCTTGGTAGTTCTGTCAGAGCTTATGAGAATGGGAGTTAATTGGTTTATCTCAGCTCCCTAAGTAGTTATTAACACAATAAGGATAGAGATGGAGAGACAGTCCCTGCTGTGGCAGAAGTCTAGTGGGAGCAGATATACTAATAAACAATAATTATAGTGTAATATGTGTTATCATAAAGGAGAATGCAGAGTAGTAAAGAAGCTGTGAAGTCTGGTGATGGAGGTGAAGAGGAGGGAAGTGGAGTCCACATTTCCTGGCCTTGGAAAGATAATGTGCAACAGACATGGGCGCTTAGAAGAGGACTTAGCCAGAGGAGGAAAAGTAGCGTGAATAAGGGTGCTGACAAGTTTCCACATTCTTTGTCTATTACTATAATTTAATTCTCAGAACAGTCTTGTAAAGTAAGTGGTTTTAATGTCTTAAAACATCTATAGGTTTGAAAGTCAATGATAGAAATAAAAAATGTAATGAATATGAGCCTACTATTGGCTGACTTCAGAGCCACCTTTTTTTTAAAAGAGCCATCCTTGTATTTTTTCTGCACCATTTCTCTTTTTAGTCTATGTGTTGCTAAACTGAGCATGCCATTTCTTTAAGGTGCAGGGGATTAGAAATAAAATTTTAAACAAATCAAAGCCCACGACCTACTGAAGTTGTAAGAAATCTTCTTGCCTATAAATCGTATTTCAGGAGACTATATGGTTAGAGTTAGGATTAGCAAGATGTAAACCCATCCTACCCCCTATTCTTCGTTGCTGATAAAATGGAAGAAAAAGCCCTCGCGAAGTTAAAATGATTAGTAGGTTTGTAAAAGGTCATGCACCTCCAATCTACACAATTTGAGAAATCCAAACCCCTCACGTCATGAATATTTTTTAAAATGGTCGCAACCAGGAGGGCCCCTTGGTGCCTGGTGGGAGCAAATGCAGCCTGTCTGGCATAGATGTCATTGTATCAGATAAAGCAGAATTTTAGCAAAATGTACTTTTGGAAACTAAAAGCTTAGTTCATAATGATAAAGGTTTCAATGTACTGGGATGTTCAGACAGGCCTTGAACTCAGTGTGTAGGCCATACTGTCTTTCAGTGATCCTCCTGCCTCCGCCTTCCAAGTGCTAGTATTACAGGTGTGTGTTTTATACCCAGCAGGTAGATAGAAGCTTATTAAAGTTATAGGCACCTACTAACAGAGCCTTGATAACACTTAAATAAACAAAAATACTAGAAGTGAAAATATGTAAAATAGTGTGAATTCTCAAAAATAAATAAAGGTAAAATTCAGCATGGATATAGATCATATAAACTAATTAACAGCAAACCCAATGTAAATATATAGAATACTAAACCAAACCACTCATTCTTTTTAAGCTTACATGAACATTTACTAAAGTTGGCTAAATATTGCTTCCTAGAGCAAGTCTCCATGAATTGGAGAGGACTTAAATCACAAGAATGTTCTCAGGGCCGGCCAAATAGCTCAGCGGATTAAAGTCCCTCCTTAGGCAGACGCAAGGCCAGGGTTCATCCCTGGTGTGCTGGTACTGGCCCCACCCCCGGGGCATGCTGAGATGGTGATTGAGCCTGGGTGTGGTGGCATGTGCCTGTAATCCCAGCTCTTGGGAGGCTGAACACAGGCTGATCACTACAGGTCTGATCTATGTAGTGAGACCCTGTAGACCCTTTCCTAAAGTACAAAAAAAAAAAAAGTTATCTGACCACATGCAGTTAAGGTAGTTACAGTGGTACCTTGGTTCACCAACTTAATTTGTTGCATGGTTTTGGAAAAGATGGCCATGTTTGTATGGGAAAGATGGCCCCAGTTGTGAATGTCACCTGACACAAAGTATGCAAACAGAAACAAAATTTTGCCAAATGTTTCTGTTTGCAAACCAAATTATTTAAAACAAAAGCATTCATGAGCCAGGATACCACTATATTAACACAGTGATAGCTAGAAAAATGCATGTGGGGGCCGGGGAGATGGCTCAGTAGAATAAGTGCTTGCCTGGCAAGCACAAGGTCCTGAGTTCAATCCCCGGTTCTGCAAAAAAAAAAAAAAAAAAAAAGCATGTGTTTGGAAATTAAGGAAAACTTCTCAACCCATGTTTCAAAGAAGAAAAAAAAAAAACCCAGAAAAAATAATAATGGAAATTAGGAAGTATTATACAGTAAGTGAAAATGAAAATACTACATTTAGAGCTTGAGAGATACAGCCAGAGTAGAATTTGGCAGGCAATTTATGCTCTTAAATGCTTGTACTACAAAAAAATAAAGTGTAAAGATTAATGACCCTTGAATCTCTATTTCATGAAATCCAGGAAAAGATTTTCCTAATAACTTAAGGGAAAAAATAATCAACAGAAATAGAAAGTACAAGTGGGGAAGATAAAACTAACAGTTTTGAAAGACAACCTGATAGATCTCTTGATAAAATGAAGACACAAAACATGCCTATAATGAAATAGAAAACAACCACACAAGTTATAGACATTAAAAAGTTAAGAGACTAGCTGGAAACGGCATGAGACTGCAGTCTCAAAATCTGAGAGGCTGAGGCAGAAGAATTGCTTAAGCCCAGGAGTTTGAGGTGAACCTGGGCAAGATAGCCACCTCAAAAAAGTTTAAAAACAATATAAACAAGTTTGTAAATGGATAAATTTTGTCTAGATTAGATAAATTCTTAAAAAACAAAGGTAATTTGTATCAAAGAGATAGAAAATCTGATATCCTAATAGCCCTCAAGTTTAATCTGTAGTCCAAAGTCTTTGTATAAGGAGGATTTGAGTTTCAGCTTACTTCACCGAGGAGCCTGCCAAACCTCAGAGAAGCAAGTATTGCTGTATAACAAGTCACCCAATATGTATTGCTTCAAAACAGCAATAATATTATATTGGAATTTTGCAAGCGCTTTGTGCATTGTTCTGCTTGGACTCTTTGCTGAGGCTGTAGGCAAATTTAGCTGTGGCTGAGGCTGTAGTATGACCTGGTATGTACTCATTAAGAATATCTTACCTTGTTGACAGTTTGGGGCCTGCATGTGAATCCCTCACATCAGGCTGTGCGCTGAATTCCTTGAGAGTTCTCATGGTGTGGGGTTTGTCTCCTGTAGGGTGAGCATGCGAGAGGCTTGTGTGTAGGTTACACTGTGTGTTGTCTAACCTGGTGGTGATTCACCCGCGGCACGCATGCTGCAGTTGGGTGTTTGTTATCACTGAAAGCTTTTAACGTTTCACCATCACTGATCTAACCTTAAAAGCCATGCTGTTGCTTCCCATATGAGTCAGCTTTCATTACTGTAACAGAACACGCGGACTAATGAGCTCATAAAGAGAAAAGGTTTGCTTTTGGCTCATTGCATCTTATCCACCAAAAAAAGTATTGAGTAATTTCACTCTAAATTATGCTGCTAAAGATCTGTAGCTACTTCTGAGAATAAATGAACAAGTTGGAGAATTCTGATTTCTTCTAGTTTGGGTTTGGTTGGGGCTTTAAGAGAGTGTGGTGTTGGAGGCTGAGGACCACAGATGTGACCCCGACCTGTGGGAATTCATCTGGCCTTCTGCCTCAGTGCAGGGCTCACCTCCGGTGGAAGGCTTCCCCCCCTTCCCCCAGAACCACTGTGCTCTCGCCTCAGCCCATGTGTCACTGACAGTGGCTGTCACAGGCCTTTGGGCTTGAGTGCCTGTGCCTTACTCACTGTTTGATTAAAATCTTCTTCCAGGAAGTGACTCACCAGTTCCACTGAATGTTTCTGGGGTGCATCTCACAGAACAAGTCTCAGAGACCTGTGTGTTCATTGCCCCATAGCATCCCCCCCCGGCCTACCCTGAGCTGCCATTTTCAGAATGGACTGCCTCAGTGCCCATGGTCTGCAGTCTCAGATAGGTGCAGACAGAAATGGAAAGACTCTTGGCAGAGCTGTGAATAACCACATGTATTCTCTGAAGGAGCCCACAGTAGGAGGGTACGTCCCTAAGGGGAGGATGGGGAGGAGATGCTGCTGGTTTAATTTTACCTTCTGCTCATTAACGTGCCTTCTTCTGTCCTTGTCTCTTCACAGAACCCTGCCATCAGCATCACTGAAAATGTGCTGCATTTCAAAGGTCAGTACCAGGCACATGCTTCAGCTCTTCACAGTTAAGAAGGCATGGTGGTTTTCCTTGTTTTTATTTAACTCACTTTTTATTGATGTTCACCCTTTGAGACTCTTGATAAATTTAATTGTTTGGAAAATATGGTTAGAGGGGGCTGGAGAGATGGCTCAGTGGAATAAGCGCTTCCCTGGCAAGCGTAAGGGCCTGAGTTCAATCCCTGGTTCCACCAAAAATAAATAAATAAATAGGAAAATATGGTTAGAAAATTCAGAGAAATTGTTTAAAGCCCTTAGAAGGACCATTGGTGCTGGGAGGTGGAATTGTGACCTAGAAGCTGGAGATCTGTCTTTTAGCCTGAATTCTGCCACTATCTTAGACAAATTAGTGACAGAAAGTGCTGTTATAATCTGTCTGTCTGACCATGGTCACCTGAGACTATGTTCGTGGGGCTTTCAGGGGTTCACAGACCCAGACTGAGAAACATGAAGCATTCAGTATGGTCCTTTCCAATGAGTCTTGTCTCTGTTGTGCTTGTGACCATGGGTGTACACTCAGCTACTGAACTTGTGTGGCAGGACTAGAGTCCAGGATACACTGCTTCTAAGAAAGATTACAGTGGGCAGAAGAAGCAAAAATCACCTTGGTGAGACCGTAGCTGCCCGACAACACATTTGCAGACCAGTCTGAGCAACACTGTGGCCTACGTCTTGGATGCCCCTGGTTGATTTGGGAAGGGAGGCTTGTCAAGGCATGGGATAGGGTGGCCAGGCCAGGGACTCCTCCCAGTTCTGCCTGAGGAGGTGCTGTGTTCAGAGCAGTCTTTGCGATGGTTCAGCATTCCTGGGTGGCCACAACCAGTACCCACTGGTTTTTGTCTAATCTGATTTACTTTTTTATTTTTTTGCGGAACCGGGGATTGAACTCAGACCCTTGCGCTTGCCAGGCAAGTGCTTATTCTACTGAGCCATCTCCCTGGCCCCTCTAATCTGATTTAGAACCAGTAAATTTATATCATTGTGGTGCCTCTGGCTTTGCCTTTTATATATATATATATA